AAAAAAAAAAAAAAAAACTTGCAAAAGGCAAGCGCTCTTACGAAGACTCCTACAAATCAGTAAGGAAAACAAATAGCTCAGTTAAAAATGGCAAAAGATCTACACAGATGATTAACACGATCAAACATATGAACGAACTTCAAACTTACTAATACTTAAAAAATATATTTATAATGTGTCAAACTTCTAAAAATAATAAAATGATGATATTAAGGATTTTGAGAATCTAGAAGAATAAACATCTCAGATACCTCAGGTAACACTACTACAAATGTAAATGCATAGAACTGCTGTTCATGCCATTGAGCTGGCAATTCCATTTCTGAGAATTTACCCTAAGAAAATAAAAGTGCGTGGAGAAGTCTGTGTTCAAAACTACTTGTCATAGGAGTCTTAGTAATATAAAAGCTGAAATAAATTTAATATTTAAAATGTATGATTAACTAAATAAAGCTTACTCTACTTGATGTGTGACCATTACATTTGCATGTGTGGGAAATTTAATGGTGAAGATAAAATTCTGAAAATATAGTAGTAAGTAATATGAAACAGTTTCTAGAAGGTGATTCAAATTTTTAAAGAACTGCACATATGTATACATGAAGAAAGAATAAGAGGAAATCAAAAATTTAACAGGAGTTATTTTAAAGTAGGAGGTGTTAAATAATTTGAGTTTTTAAAAATTCATTTCCCTCATACTTTTCACAATCAAATGTGTCATTTTAGTAATCAGAACAAACATCTTATAAAAAATTGTCAGATGTTTGTTCTGATTACTAAAGGTCAGACATAAAAAATATGTCCAAACACATTGACTTTTCAAAGATCTGTCCTAAAATATCACTTTCATAGTGCTTTTGTGCTATAAGGTTCTCAGAACGCCAAAGTCATTTCCATCCAATATTTATTGAGATGCAAAGAAGTAAAAAGGTAAAAAGATAAAAGAGGCAGAATAACAACAGAAGGAGATCCGGCACGTGGGTGTGGGATTCTAGCATTCGCTTTCAAATTAACTCGTTCTGGGACTTAAGCCAAAGGTCTTGGTCTTGGCTTTCTCATCCAAGGAAACAAAGAAGTTGAAATGAATATTTTTTGTTTGTTTGCTGGTTTTTTGAGACCGAGTCTCATCCTGTCATCCAGGCTAGAGCGTGGTGGCCAGATCCCAGCTCACCACAACCTCTACCTCTCAGGTTCAAGCGATTCTCATGTTTCAGCCTCCTGAGTAGCTGGGATTACAGGCACACACCACCATACCCAGCTAATTTTTGTAATTTAGCAGAGACGGGGTTTTGTCATGCTGGACAGGCTGGTCTTGAACTCCTGACCTCAAGTAATCCAACCGCCTCAGCCTCCCAAAGTGCTGGGATTGCAGGCATGAGCCACCGCGCCTGGCCAAAATGAATAATTTTGAATGCAGTTTTGTACCCTAAAGTTCTATGAGGCTATTTCATAATTCCCCCAAAAAAGCCAAGTTCAATGACAGCAAAGCTGCCCAGGGAAGCAGCTGGGTCCTACAACAGCACAGACTGCGCCTGTCCACTGGGGCTTCAATCCCTAGATATGCTTGTGACCGTGAGCCCTTTCTCCTCCCTGAAATGTAGAAAGGCACTACAGTCACAGCTGGTTCTATTTTGCCACTCACAGGCTGACACGTATTTTTATGCATTAGTAACCTTGAGGATTCTCAACCTCTCAGTGACGTGAGTCAAACAAACACATTTAATGTTTCTAAGGAGAGAATCCAGTCAAGTGTAAAATGATATTAAGGATGACATTCTGTCCTCACATGATCTACCAGTCAAGGGAGACAGAAAGGTATGAAGGAGTAAGGGTGGGCGCACATAATACAACTTGGAAGAAAACTCCCTTCGATGTATTGCCCGTAAAGGAACGGGGTTCCCGCATCTGTCAGTCCCCAGGCAAGCAAATCCAAGCCCAGCCACAGGCCACGACCTCTGAAAGTGGAATGGCTTTTAGAACCTAGTGTAGTAGTATCCAACCAGTTTTTTAAAGCTGAAAATAAGATAACGCAAGGTTTGGATATAGAAATCCTTGGAGTGTCATTGGTATCTCATGGCATAGAAAGGGAAAGGCTTTCAATGGGGTTTAAACATGCGATTCGCGCTGTGATGCCAGGGAAACTGCACTCACCAGTTGACGTGCAGGAGGTTAGGCAGGCGGGGCGCTCTTCAGACAGGGGCCACAGGCCATGGGGAAGACGGGAGGTAAGGTCCAGGCAATGACCAAGGTAGGAGGTAGGTTGCGTTTACAGTCAGTAACACTCTATGTGATGGTTAATACTGAGTGTCAACTGGATTGGATTGAAGGAGGCAAACTATTGTTCCTGTGTGTGTCTGTGAGGGTGTTGCCAAAGGAGATTTACATTCAGCTCAGTGAACTGGGAGAGGCAGACCCACCCTCAATCTGGGTGGGCACCATCTAATCAGCTGCCAGTGAGGCTAGAATAAAGCAGGCAGGAGAAAACGAAGCGCAGACTGGCTGAGTCTCCCCACCTTCATCTTTCTCCTGTGCTGGATGCTTCGTGCCCTCGAACATCAGGCTCCAAGTTCTTCAGCCGTTGGACACCGGTGGTTTGCCAGGGGCTCTCAGGCCTTTGGCCACAGACTGAAGGCTGCACTGTTGCTTCCCTACTTTTGAGGTTTGGGACTTGGACTGGTCCACCACTGGCTTCCTTGTTCCTCAACTTGCACAAGGCCTGTAGTGGGACTTTACCCTGTGATCGCGTGAGTCAGTTCTCCCTAATAAAGTCCCTCCACATATACATCTATCCTATGAGTCCTGTCCCTCTAGAGAACTCTGACTCATACACTCTGTGGGGAAACACTGGGCCTGAATACAGGACGCAAGCAGGGTGGGGGGTAAGTGGGGTGGGGGGTAAGCGGGGTGGGGGGTAAGTGGGGTGAGGGGTAAGTAGGGTGAGGGGTAAGTGGGGTGGGGGGTAAGCGGGGTGGGGGGTGAGCATGGTGGGGGTTAAGTGGGGTGAGGGGTAAGCGGGGTGGGGGGGTGAGCATGGTGGGGGTTAGTGGGGTGGGGGTTTCCACCGAGCTCCTTACTGCAGAAGCAGCAGAGCTGTCCCTAGGACGGACAAGCTACGTAGGGGTGAGGGGGACAGATGCACCAGTTGGGAGTTAGAGAGAGGGCCTGGGTGACGGGTGCCTGCGATGTCAGGCACAGCCATGGGAGCAGATGGAGAAAGGAGATGGGGAGGGGCCACAGATGCTGAGCACCGCCCATGGTGTTCACCCACAAAAACTAGACAAAGTGAGATGGAGACAAAGAAAAAGAAGTAAGATAGTGCACGCTACGGGAGGCAAGAGAGGGACACAGGTGACTGGGCGCACGGGCTATACAGGGTAAGCTGAAAGAATGGAGTCTTTAGAGGGCAGAGCTGGTGGCGAGGCCCCTGTGAGGCCCCAGAGGACACAGCTCTCGAGGCGAAAGGGACTTGGCAGGTGGAGACAGCTCTTCTCTGAGGAGGTGGCAGTCACTGAAAGGAGAGAAAAAGGACAAAAGACAAATGTGAAGCCAACACCTGGCAGCCAGGTCATGGGGGCCACTTGAGCCTCTCCACAGGACACAGAGCTAGGGAAAAGGATGCTGGTGGAGGGGATACGGGGCTGCAGGGTGGAGGAGGAACTGGCTGAAGGAGGAAGAGCATCTCTTCTTCTGGGAAAAAATAGGAGGAGGATTGGTATACAGATAGAGACATTTAGTATAAAAAGAAAATTTAAGTGATTTTGAAAATGATCTTTCTGCAATGCAATGATTGTGGAGTTGGTAATAGGCACGGTTACAGCTCTAATAGATACTGTGGGCAATCCTAAATTTTCATGAATTTTTCATGGATTTCAGTAGTCGCCCCAAAATGACCATTTCATATTATTAAACATCAGAGACAAGAAATATCCAACGGGCGACAGCATTGTTGAGAAGAGAATAGAAAGGGATTTCTGGAGCCCACGGGTGGTGAGAGGCTCCAGTTTACGGGGCTCTGCTCTCTGGTGTGCCAGCCCCAGCCGGGCACCATGCTATAGCTGGTTTTCATCACCCAGTTCCTGACGGAATCACTGCAATCATGCAACAGACCGAGCTTTTGTGCAAATGGTATTTTCTCCTCTATTAAAATGTTCTACTCTGTTCCCATCTAAATGGGTCCAGGGGCAGTCGCAGACACCTGCAGTTGCACGGAGGCATGGTTTGATTTCACGTGGCTCCTGATGATAGTAATTGTTGCTGTTATTTGCCTTACTATTTCACCTCTCAGGCAGAAAGAAAGTAAACAAAACACTTCTCAGGAGAGAGGGGGGACAAGGGAAGAAAGAAGACATTGTGGGAGCGAATCAGAGCATAGGACAGCATTTGTTGAGCCGTTCTGATTTCCTTTGATGCTTTCCCACCCTGCTGTTCAGGATAAAGCCTTGTTCTCCTCCTAAGCCTGGTATGGAAAGAGTCCCTACGGGGGCAGACAGACCATGCTTTCAGTTTCTTATAGGCGTTTATGTTCTTACAGGAACAGTTGAGAGAGGCTTAAGGCGGAATTAAATGGTTTGCAAAATTAAGACTGGATTCTCTACCACGTAAATAGGCAGGGACAAGAAAGGAATAAAAATACAAGTCACATTTGGAGCTAATGACATTTCAAAACCAATTCTGGATGGAGAGGTTGGAATCAGATGACCCTTTGAACTTGAAGATATTTGGCGAAACAGCCTGGAGTGTCTCCATCAAGCACTGAGTCACGGGTGGCTGGTGTGGGTAGACACTCTAAGCATTTTGGCTCTAAGCGCCTCTGTTTATACAACATTCTTTCCCATCGTGTCAGGAACAGG